GAACAAGATAGAGATTCCAGAAGCAAACCTTCAATTTCTCAACCAACTCATTTTCGATGAAGTCTCCACCACCAAGAGGAGAATCTATTCAGTAAATGGTGCTGGGAAAACTGGCTGACCATATGCAGAAGATTGAAACAGGACCACTGCCTATCACCATACACAAAAATCAACTCTAAAGGGATCAAAGACCTAAACGTAAAACCTCAAACTATAAGAACTTCAGAAAACTAGCCGGGCTCAATGCCTCAGCCTGTAATCGCAGCACTTTGGGAGGCCGAGGTGAGTGGATTGCCCGAGCCAGCGGGTTCGAGACTAGTCTGAGTAACATGGTAAGACCTTACCTCTACAATAACTCAAAAATTAGGGCGTGGTAGCGTACACCTATAGTTCTGGCTACCAGGAAGGCTGAAGTGGAAGGATCACCGGAGCCCAGTAGGTCGATGGTGGGGTGGCCTTGAGCATGTCACTGCACTTCAGCCTGAGCAATGGACTCCAACTTTTAAAAAAAAGAAAAAAAAAAAAAAACACGCAGGAGACACACTTATGGAAAAATGGAACTGGCAACCAATTCCTGATCAAAACCCCAAGAAAACCCCAAGTGCCTCTGCCATAAGAGATAAGATAGACAAGTGGGACCTCATCAAACAGACAAGCTTCTGCAAAGCCAAAGAAACCATTGAGAGAGCGGGGAAACAGCCCATAGACTGGGGAAAAATATTTGCCAACTATATATCTGACAAAGGCCTAACTTCTAGGATATACAGGGAACTCAAACATACCAAAAAGAAAAGAACAACAGCCCATTACAAAGTGGGCAAAAGATATGAATAGACACTTCTCAAAAGAAGACATACAAGGGCTGGACATGGTGGCTCAGCCTGTAATCCCAACACTTTGGGAGGCCAAGGCAAAAGGATTGCTTGAGCCCAGGGGTCCAAGCCTGGGCAACTTGGCAAGACCTCATTTCTACAATAAAACAAAAATTAGCCAGGCATGGTGGCTGGCGCCTGTAGTTCCAGCTACTTGGAAAGCTGGGGTGGAAGGACTGCCTGAGTCCAGTAGATCGAGGTTGCAATGGCCGTGAGCGTGCCACTGCACTCCAGCCTGGGAGACAAAAAGTGAGATTCTAGCTCAAAAGAAAAAAAAAAAAAAAAGAGACATGAGCAGCCAACACATACGTGAAAAAATGCTCAGACTCACTAGTCATAAAAAAAATGCAAATTAAAACAACACTGAGATACCACCTAACTCCAGTCAGGATGGTCATCATCAATAACTCAAAAAATAACAGATGCTAGAAAGGATGCGCAAAAAGGGAACAAATCTACACTGCTGGTGGGAGTGTAAACTAGTAAAACCTCTGTGGAAGACAGTTTGGTGATTCCTAAAAGATCTAAAAATCGACCTTCATATGACCCTGCAATCCCCTTACTGGAAATATACCTGGAGGAACTCAAATCACTCTACAAGAAAATACCTGCACATGCATGTTTATTGCAGCACTATCCACAATAACAAAAACATGGAACCAACCGTGCTGCCTATCGGAAGAGGACTGGGTGAAAAAATATGGTACATATACACAATGGAATATTATGCAGCCATAAAGGACAAAATTATGAACTCTGCAGCAACTTGGACTGACTTAGAGTCTATCATACTCAGTGATCTATCACAGAAACAAAGAACAGAGTACCACATGTTCAACATAATTTTTTTTTTTTTTTTGAGTTGGAGTCTCACTCTGTCGCCCAGACTGGAGTGCAGTGGCCACTCCTGGCCACCGCAGCCTCAACCTGCTGGGCTCCAGCTATCCTTCCATCTCAGCCTTCCCAGTAGCCGGAATTACAGGCATGCACTACCACGCTCGGCTGATTTTTTAAATTTATTGTAGAGATGAGGTCTCGCTGCCCAGGTGGGTCTCCAACCCGCGGGCTCAGGCAATCCACTCACCTCAGCCTCCCAAAGGCGCGGGATTACAGGCTGAGCCACCGAGCCCAGCTGTTCAAAATAATTTATCATTAGAAAAATGCAAATCAAAACCACAATGAGATACCACTTCACATCCACTAATATGGCTATTATCAAAAAAACAGAAAACAAGTGTTGGCAAGGACATAGAAAAACTGAAACCATTGTATATTGTTGGGAAAGAAAAACTGTGCAACTGCTGTGGAAAACAGTATGGTGATTCCTCAAAAAATAAAATATAGAATTACCATGTGATCCAGCAATTCTACTTCTGGGTTTACACACAAAGAATTGAAAGCAGGGACTCAAACAAATATTTGTTCATAGTAGCATTATTAGTAATAGCCAAATGATGGAAACAATGGAAGCATTCATTGATGGATACATGAATAAACAAAATGTGGTATGTACATACAATGGAATATTACTCAGCCTTTAAAAAGAATGAAATTCTGATATATGCTATGACATGGATAAAATTCAAAAACAGACACAAAAGTACAAGCATTGTGTGATTGCACCAGTATGAAGTACCTGGAATACTGAAATTCATAGAGACACAAAGTAGAATAGTAATTGCAAGTTACTAGGGGCAGAAAGAATGAGGAGTTCTTAAGTTTGAAATGATGAAAACATCCTGGAGATAGATAGTGGTTATGCCTGCACAACAGTATGAATGCATTTAATGCCATTGAACCACATACCCTCAAAATAACTAAAACTATAAATTGTATGCTATGTAAATTTTACCACAATAAAAAAATACTGTGATTAGTATTTAGAAAGCATCAGCAGACTGGATATTGAGAGAAAGATAGCTACTATCTTTCTTTGGGAGGGCGAGATGAGTGGACTGCCTGAGTCTGTGGGTTCAAGACCATCCAGGCAATTTGGTGAGACCTTGTCTCTACAATAAATTTTAAAAATTAGCCGGGCATAGTAGTGCGTGCCTGTAGTTCCGGCTACTTGGAAGGCTGAAGTGGAAGGATCGCCAGAGTGCAGCAGGTCAACGCTGGGGTGGCTGTGAGTGTGCCACTGTACTCCAACCTGGGCAACAGAGTGAGACTCCAACTCAAAAAAAAAAAAAAAATAGCATAAACTTGGAGTTAGATATACCTTAGTGACAACATTTACTAGCTATATATATTTTTTATCCCACCTTAAACTTCTTTGCATCTCAGTTATCTTATCTGTTAATAACATTTTGTATAGAGTGAGGGCCTACAACATGGTGCCTGGTACTCAACATTACTTTGCCTTTTCCCTTGTTATATACCTAGCTCTAAGGCTTTCTCAAAACCAGTAATAAAGTATCTTGGCAACTGCTGCTGCATCATCCTAATATGAGTAACATTGGCTTCTATGTATTTGAAAGCAGTGAGTTTTGCTTGTAATCAGGCAGAAAAAACACAGATAAAGCAATAGACACATTATACAGAATAAAATATACCTTAGCGGAAAAAACATCAAGTAACTTAAATGCCATAGGACCTTGTGGGAGAAGAGTGTCAACTTTGTTGACTCATTATTAGTCTATTGGGCCAAGTAGGAAAGTAAATATAGTCTTACCCACAGACCAAAGAATATATTAGGCAGATTACCAATGCCATGTTATATGAAGAAAGGAATATCTATGTTTTATTTTAATCATAAGGCCATACCAAATTTTCCAAAAATATATAATTAAAATTAGTTACCAGTTAATAATAGTCTACTACACACAGTGCTAGGTAATTTACATACATATATTACTTCTTTTTTTTTTTTTTTTCATTTAAGAGACAGGGTCTTGCTCTGTCACCCAGGCTGGACAGGATCTTACTCTGTCATTCAGGCTGGAGTACAGTGGAATGATCACAGCTCACTACAACATCAAATTCCTAGGCTCAAAGGATCCTCCCACCTCAGCCTCCATGAACCTAGGACTATAGGTATGTGTTATTACAACTGGCTAACTTTTTTTTTTTTTTTTGGTGAAGACAGGGTCTCACTCAATTGCCCAAGCTGGTCTCAAACTCATGGCCTCAAGAGATCCTCCCACCGTGGTTTCCCAAAGCACTGGAATTACAGGAAAAGTCTCATGAGCCATAATCCCTTGCCTACATATATTACTTCTATTTCTCATAATTCACTCATTCAACAGATCTTTACTTATATATGACTGTGCAAATTATGCATTATCATCTCCATTTTACTGATGATGAAAGTACTTTGCCCAAGATCATAAAGAACCTAGTAAGTGGCTATGAAGTTATTCAAAACCTAGGTCTGTTGAATACTCCTATTATTCTACCCAAAGTTTAATGCTGGATAATTAGCCTATGATGACAACTAGTAAACTTTTAAAGCTTTGAGAAATATTGATTGCTTTCATTCTTTACAAGGCTTTTAACACCATATCTCAACAACTTTCAGGATGAGAAATTACAACCTCTCCATTTCCTAAGGAGTACAACCAGTGGCTGAAAGGTGCAGGAAGCAACCAGAGGGGCGGCTCCCAAAATGGGACCGAGCATGGTGAGGACACACCAAACAACAAAGGCCCTAGGTCCCAGCTTCTGTGTGCACAATTCCCCGCGCGTACGAAGTTCAAACCTGCAAGCCTCCAATCCTTAGCCAGCTTTGTTATGCGTCCAATAGGACTATAACATGGCGCCCGCCCCACCCTACTCCTATGCAGCTCCTCCAATAGAAACATAGCACAGCCCCTTCCGGCCCCTGTCAGGCTAAGAAATACAGCCCATTCCCTGCATATATCTATCTATCTCTCTATCTCTATCTCTCTCTCTCTCTCTC